AATCTATACTAATATTATAAAGAGGTAATGTTTGTAAGTAAGTAAGTAAGTTTGGATGTAGCGGGTAATCCCCAATTTCAAAAATTCTTTCACCAATATTTAGATTGTAACTTCAGGGTGGACATAGGCTGTATATTATTCCATTAAACATTCATATAAATTAAAAGATATAATCTAGGTTAAGGCTTTTATGTCCAACAGATGGCGCTACGAGTACAACACCCTAAGTTTGCTTTTCTGTGAAAATGAACTAAAGCAGATCATCTTCTATCTACTTATATAAATAAAAATGTAATGTTCGTTTGTTCCTACTGATTCCTTTGAAATTTTCACACAACGCTGAATTCGAATACACACGTGTTTTTATATAATATACATATCGAAATTCAACCCCACTGAAGGGAGATTGTTATGATTAAGGCTTACCGTGAAGAACTTGGCTTCTATTATACTATTTTAGATGTGGGTTTTTGCATTTTTGATTGCGTTTTAATAGGGTATGTCAACAGAATGTACACTAATAAGAAATTTTTTGAAAAATTTTTCCCCCACGGAGGAAGTGTTATACATTTATAACAGATACATTTTGAGCCACAACAACGCATGGCAGGGTCTGCTAGTTATTATTAATATTATTTTTATTTTATTTTATTTTATTTTTTATTTTTGCATTAATGCAATATATGCAAATTTTCAATGTGATATGACACAAGCCAAATGTGGGTTTTCTTTATTACATTTTCAAATGTCTTTCAAAGAGATTTTCTGGAAACAGTTTATAAATTCAGACATGCAATTGTCACTTTTTAAAACTTATCTTATGTTATACTTTATTTTAATCATACTTTACAGCAGGAGTTTCACATATGTTAGTTTCATACTTTTAATTGTAAAAATACTTTTATATTTTCATTTCTAAGTACTTATACAATTACATCAATTCTTAAAAACTAACTTTTAAGATCAATTATCAGTTTAACTTCAAAATTATTTTAAGTTATAGACATTTTGGTAATATTTTTATAATCTTACTTTATAATTAATTGAAATCTAATAAAAATACTATATTAAAATCAAACTTGAAAGTAGTGCATTTTGAAATTTATCATACACAATTAAACTACTCCTTGTTTTGATTATTGTTATCAATCAGAGTTAAATTCAGTAACTGTGTTATGTAAAAATGAAAAAATATTTTAGAATATTGAGCCTGAAATGCATGGAAAGTTTTTAGGAAAATAAAAATATTACTACTAGAATGCAGAAATTACCAGTAACAACTAATTAAATACTCTTCTAAGAAAATAATTACTTCCTTTATAAAAAATTTAATTTTTTAATTGTGTAATTATTAGACTGATATTAAAATTTGTTACATAATTATTCCTTTATAATAATAATAAAAAAATAAACACAATATTTATTTAAAGTATTTAACTTTCTTTTAATATTGTAATAGTTAATTGTAAAATTTCTGGCTATACATACTTATTTACAAATATATGAAAACACATTCAATAAGATTTTAGCTTAAAAATTTATTATATTTTTGAATTAGAAAAGCATTTTTTTTCCTCAAATAGAGAGGAAATTTAATAACAGTAATAATCATATTAAAACAGGACAATTACAGTAGGGTTTTATTCAGTATTAAATATACACAATTCATATTTTTGCATATGACAGATGGTTCAATTAACTCTTGGATGCATGTGCATGGGAATAATTCTGACAATGTACATGCTAAATATTATAAAATTTATTGTGGAGCAGAAGTAATGGTATAAAAATTAGAAACAGTGTTCTAATACAGATGGAAAGAAAGCAGGAAAAAATTGTGTGTACACCATGCAAGTTGTGTAAAAGTTAAAATTAAACTAAAACATCTTTTCACATTATATATAAGAAAACTTAAGCTGCATCAGCAGAGTGTTGGGGATGAAAAAGTGTAGCTTCTAGATAGTCAAGAGTATTTCTTATATAACTGTAAGCAGGGGTAAATCCTGACCAAAATTTTATCAATCTGAAAGTTATAATAGGATTACTGGGCCTATCTCTAGCACTAAAAAATAGGCAGAAATGTTAATTAGTGTGAATAAAATAACATATAGTGACAACATATGCAGGGATGGATCTAGGTTTTTTGGGGCCTAGGGCTTATTGGAGTCCAATGGGGCCTTATTTTTTGTTAGATTAAGAATCTTTAAATTGGGTTTTAAAATTCATTTTTAATAACATCAATATCAGAGTTGAAATATATTTATAAAATGCGGTTGAATGACAAATTTTATCAGAAAAAGTATTAAAAATTTATGATGATAATTCAATTTTTGTCTGCCCTTGAGACTTTGGGATTTATGGTTTAAGCCCTATTAGTCCCTATGTAATAGATCAACTCCTGAATGTAGTAACTCACAACAATTCACAACTTAGATTTGAAAGTACACAATACATGTATGCTGACTGGGTATAGCAAGCTTTTGATACAATCTGGCTGTGTTAAATGCTTCAAATGACGTCATGCAAACACACTTGTTTGCTGCGGCAAACCTCCACATGAGCAAGTGGTCAAGTTTCTGCAAGCATCACACTGACTTAAAACAGCTAGCTGCTAGTTGTCAATGTAAAAGCAAACACAAATGATAAAAGAGTTTACATGTTAGAATATATTATTATTGGCATATTTGTTCTCATATAAAAAGAATATTGACAGTCAAAACTTTCTCTTAAGGATGCGGAGCAAGATAGCCCACAGAATTCGCCCCTGACTGTAACAAAAGTACCATATGATACATTTAAAAAACAAAAAAAGAAACTGCAAGTAGAGAGGCATTTCAAGCTGATGGATTGTATAGTACATGATAAAGTGATTTTGAAAATAGAGTGCATTGTTTTTAATTGAAGATCAATACAAACCTGTGGATTTTAATATGACTTCTACCAAGACTTCCTCAACCAACATCATTGCAGATATCACTTTTGTTGCCAGAAAAGGCTAGTTGTAGAACTTTGTAATAAAAAATTATGCAGGAGTGATTGTGAAGCAACTAAGCTTTTCCTGCACATTTGAGGATGCACACCAATGAGAATGAATATAAACCTGAACAGAATGTCAATGAGATGGCATTGTTTTAAAAGACAATACTTCAATGCATCTATTTATGTATATGTGCTTGAAGGTACTGAAGTGAAGCAAGTATCTTCAATTTATCAAGCACAAAATCCAAAATCCTTAGAGCATATAACAAGAATATGATGCTTGTGTATTGGATGGGAAACAAGAAAGTTTGATAACAAAAGAATCTTTTTAGACTGGTTCCACAATTGTTTTATTTCCAAAGTCAAAGAATAAAACTCTCAGGTAAAGATTTCCTTGTGCTAGACAATGTCTCAGGACAACCAAGTGATACAAATGAGTTTTCAAATAATGAAATAGTGGTTGACTATATACATTTTTAATGATACATCTCTTATTCAGCCAACAGCATAAGGAAATTTATGGTTGCATTGCTGTAGCATTGGATAATGACAACAATCTTAGCATCATTCAGTTTAGGAAGAGCTTTACCAAAATTGGCAGTTTCTTTCTAATAAAACAAGTGTTGGAGGAACCAAACACAAATCTGTAACTGCTTGTTGAAGAACTTGTGGCCTGAGGCTGCAAAGGACATCACTTCAGATGAACTGCAAAACATTTCAGACATACAGCATGAGAAAACCACTACAAAAATAAAGCAGTTCACAGAGAAAATTTGTGCATATGATTTGAGTACTTTTAAGAGGACCTCAAGGACTTAATTTTAGATATAACCATATTGCGGGATCGGTACTGACAGATCCAGCAAAAATTAGTCTTGAAGCGAAGATTGGACAGAGGTCCAAGTAGTGCAATTGGCACTGTCTTCATGGTAAGCAGGAGTTGTGGATTCAAGTCCTTCTCCAGGCAAATCTTTTCTTCCCGAATATTCTAAAATTAAAATTTATTTATTTATAATTATTACATTTAACAAGACATGACAGCTGCCACCTTTCAAATTGCTTATTCATTAATAATTATTTAGCCTTATATTCTGATAATGAATCTTGTTTTAAATCTCACTATTATGGATCAGGTTATAACATTGATTAATCTAGAAATACATTATAATGTTTATGTGATACCTGCTAACACAACCCTCATTATAAAACAAGACCATACTATAATTCATTGATTAATATTGTTATCAATAAAAGTTAATCTTGTTATTCATATGTAGAATTATATATTATTACAAATTAATCTTTTCAGCTTGTCCAGCAGAGTTATTTAATGATCTCTGCAATTCTATGTGTGCAAAGTATATCAAGACTCTAAAAGAAATAAATATTGCATTCCTGCCTTATGAATCACAAGTAAATAACAATTGAATATTTTATTAATATCTAATAAAAATAAGAAACTAAAAGCTTTATCTTAGAATTTATTTTATTAATAGTTAATGAAGTTATAGAATTTTTAAAATAAAGTTGAGATTATTTATATTTTAGGTATTTTCCTTGGATTATCCAGAAACATTCCAGTATTATTATAATGTGTCTCGTTCGTCAGGACGAAATGCCAATTTGGAGCGCATTGCCGAACAAGTTGCCACTCTCTGTGCTACTTTGGGAGAATATCCTTCCATTAGATATCGCAGGTAATTGAAAAAATTCTTAATTCATAAATTTCTTTTAAAATATTTAATATTTAAATTGATTTATTTTAAAAGCTTGAAATTTAAATATAATTTCCCCTCCTAGTGATTTTGATAGAAATGTTGAACTTGCTCAACTGTTCCAGCAAAAGTTAGATGCTTACAAGGCAGATGAATCAACAATGGGCGAGGTTATTTTATATTTGATTTTTTAAAAGATTCTTAGGTTATTTTAATAAGACTGTTAAAAATAAATTTTGTTAGGGTGCAGAAAAATCCAGATCACAGCTCTTAATCTTAGATAGAGGTGTCGATTGTGTTTCTCCCCTTCTTCACGAGCTTACATTCCAGGCAATGGCTTATGATCTGCTTTCAATCGAGAATGATGTTTATAAATTTGAATCTCCCAGTGGACACGATGTCAGAGAAAAAGAGGTACTGTTGGATGAAAATGATGATCTCTGGGTCGAATTACGTCATCAGCATATAGCTATAGTGTCTCAGTAAGCAAAATTATAGTAAATGTCACAATGTTTATGTAATAATAATTTTAGTGATAAAATTTTTGATTATTTAGACAGGTAACAAAAAATTTGAAAAAATTTATTGAAAGCAAAAGAATGACAAGTTCAACTGATAAAACAAGCATGAAAGATCTCTCTCATATGATTAAAAAAATGCCACAGTATCAGAAGGAATTAAGTAAATACTCAACACACTTGCATTTGGCTGAAGATTGCATGAAGTGTTATCAAGGATATGTTGACAAACTGTGTAAAGTTGAACAAGTAAATGATTTGATAGCAATTTATGACAAAGCAATTTTATTTTGTGTAATATTCATTATCTTTTCAATAGGATTTAGCTATGGGAACTGATGCTGAAGGTGAGAAAATTAAAGATCCTATGAGAAATATAGTCCCTATTTTATTGGATGGTAATGTTACAACATATGACAAAATCAGGATTATTTTACTTTATATTTTATCTAAAAACGGTAAGTATATATAATTTGAATTCATATACAAACTATGAAAAGTAATATTCAAAATAAATTTTACAAATTTAGAATAAATAAGTTATTTTTGGTCAAAGATTTTAGGCTTTCTACAGATTTGTTTGAATAACTTTGAACATCTTTAACTTAATTAACAATACACTAGTTACAACCAGAACAAACATATAGGCTATTAAATATAGCTCCACTGATAGAGTTAACACTATAAAAAAAAACAATAATTCATAGATAGTAATGTGTCTTGTCACTTTTATTTCTTAGATATCTCTCTAAAAATTTGGACTTACTAAAACATGCATTTCTATGTAAATTGCAGTTTCCATGCTCTGAGCAACTTCAGTTTCTCTTGAGTTAAAATTAATCTAGAATGGCATAGGAATCTGCCAAGTGATGTTATAGTTGCTCAATAAAACTTTATAAATATTTTAAATAAAAATATAACCAATATCTGAGCTATACATTTTTGTAAATTTTTCAATTTGTAGTTTTAAATTAAATATGTAGTGTTATTTTTAACAATATAAAAACAATTTTAATGGTTCCAATAATGTGTTCCAATAAACTACCGTATTTTATGGACTATAAGACTCACCTTAATTTTTAAGCAATTTTTTTAAAAAATAAATTTTTACTGCCTATGGTAAATTCAATCCTTTTATACGGATTGAAGCAAACGCTGATCCACCAATCAACGCTCAGTAGCGCTATCGGACGTCCGCTGATCGCTGGCCAATCCGCGGTCGTCTCATGATCCGAGTTTCTATGGCGACAACCATTGCTGGTTGGAAGAGAGAAAAAGCGCGGGAATCGTACGTCCAGACGATTCTATCCCGACACCCCGCAACTCGTGTTCGTTTCATCAATGCACTGCTGCTGCCAGTTGAATTCAATGTTGCCAGATAGAGATAGGTTTCCCGCGGCATCAAATATATGGCCATTTTTAAGACGGGAATTTTAAATCAAACACTGGACATTTTTATATTAATTTCGAGTATAAGACGCACCTGAATTTTGGAGGCAATTTTTCGAAGAAAAAAGTGCGTCTTATAGTCCGTAAAATACGGTAAATGTTTTTTTTAGTATAGTTGTTATTAACAGTTTTACTTTATATTTGTATTTTAATAATTGCAATTCAAAATGTCAGCCTTTTCTTTCGAGAACACTTTTTCAAATGTATACAAAATAACTTTTACAAAACTGTTCAGAGGTTATTTTGTATGGTTAAAGACTGCAGACAGGAATATTAAAAATATTCCTTTCTCATGTGTTCAGATTTTCTTGTTCTTTTTTTCCAATTGTTGTACTTCATAAATTTCTTTAAGTTAACAAATACTGGACTTATCATACAGGGAAAGGTTTTATAAGAGTAAAATTAATCACTTTGAATTGTCTCTTTTGGATGCATTTTATGTCTGAACCCCTCTTCAGCAGTTGACAATTCTTATATAAAAAAAAAAAGGTCCTGGGAGGGAGTCAGAGTTGTTATATATCAATATTTTGAACTAAAAACTATGTAAACTATTCCAGAATTTTAAAATTTTTCCTAAAATTTGGTAAATAAATTCATACAGAATAATTGTATTCTGCACAACTTATTAGTTTAATAGATTTTTATAAATAAAATTACATGAATAATAAAAAATTACAATAGGTTTCTGTCTGTGGACTTTGTTCAAAGATCTGGCTGTAATTTGAAATTATTTTTATCAATTTCATAAACTTAAAGATAAATAAGAGACATCTTATTGATTTTTTCTAGTATTTTCAATTCAAGTTAAAATGATTTTTGAATTTTTGAGCAAGTATATTTTAAAAACACAGAATTTTTAAATAAAATACAGTAGAGCATCAATTATCCGACTCAATTGGGGACTCAGGTTGGTCAGCTAACGAAAAGAATGAAAAAAAATACATTATTAGTATAGTATATTAGTATATCCCATGTAATTAGTATATTAGTATATCGCTATTAACCAACTTTGCGTTGAATTTTCATTGATGTTAAGCCTAACAAATTTTTTTTAAAATAATAATCGTTGCTATTGTATCGTTAAAAATTATTTTATTGCTCACAAAACAAACAACCACTCATAAAAGTCTGGTTTAAATACTGGCCTCCCTTCAATGGTCGAGCCTATGTTGCCAGCTAAAACACACAAAATTTAACAAAAATAATATTAAAGTAGCCAAGACATAGCTAAATATTGTAGTGCCACATCACTAGTGGACATTTGAAATTTGCCGACTAGAACGGTCGGTTAACCGATGTGACGGTTAATCGGGGGTTGGATAATCAATGCTCTACTGTATAATTCTTTATCCTGTAATAGTATTATTGTATTAAAAATTGAAATTTCTATATATAATTTGTTTTATAAGGCTGACTGACCTTTTTTTTATTAATTAGGTATTTCTGAAGAAAATTTGACAAAATTAATCCAACATGCTCAAATTCCACCAACAGAAAAATGTATTATTACAAATATGGCTAATCTAGGAACTAACATTGTAATAGATGTAAGTAAACAAATTTTGATGTTATACTATTCAAATTAATTAAAAATTTGTTGAAGAAATGTCATTTATACATAAAAATATTCATGAAAAATGGTTAAAATTCTGTTTTTTAGATTTTTTTAGAGGTAGACCCAGTCCATAGCTTTTCTCGCTATATTGGCTTTCATGGCTTTCTCAAGTCAACAAAAGCATCACTTTCCCAACTTTGCTTTCATTAATACAGGTTTCATGGCAAAGCAAATGACTAAAATAAATCAATAGTCATCAATTATTGAAGCCTGCCAATAGAGGGGACCAAAGTTATTTTGTGTTTGAAAAATTAACATGATAATTATAGAGACTTTAATTAAATTTTCTTCAGAACCCAGATTACAAAATAACTCTGTCTCTGTATTATTTTAGTGCAATTAGAATTTCCAACGGCAGAGTGAGACAATAGTTTTTGGTACTTGAATTGGCTTGTTTGCTATCACAAGCTCATAAGGATTGCATGTGAAAAGTATTCAAACATCTAGCACAAGTTCTTGGGGATGAAACTTTTTACAATCAAATGTTTTTCAATTCTTGCATTTGAATACTCTACTCTCATTTTTAGTTGATTCGGATTAAGCCTAGTAATATGATGTTAATATATATAAAAATGATTTTACTATAAAAATTGAACATAACTGTGTGACATTTATCTGGTATCATTTAATTAATTAAAGACAAAAAAGAAGTACTAAAGCCTGTTCAAAATGGAAAAAATAATTCAATACTTTTACAATAATCAACCCACAACAAGGTCATGATTTGTAACCTCTGGGACTTTGGCAACATATTTTACTTTCCTGTTTTTGCTTTGTGCCATTATGCAATCCTAATTAAGCTGATATTCATGACAATGAGCATTCAAGCTAAATTGTAGCAGTGAAAAAATGAGAATAAACTTTATTACTAGCTTGCATATCATTGGCAAATATTATTTTAGTATTTAGTGTGCTTGACTGTTATGGAATATGGTGGTATTCAGCAAGCATAAAGCCTGAAACTCTAAGAACATGTATGCAGCCTAGCAGAAGCACAAAGTTCACTTTGCATCCAAAATAGGTTGCTCGTCACTGTCCCTAACAGTGTAACATTTAGTTTATTTACTTCAAGACACACTGGGAAGATATTTAATTAATTATTAAATTGTTGTTCAAATAAAACTTGTACAATTATTCCATTATTATTGAACTTATAAATTGCGAATTCATTATAAAAATACTACAGTACTTATTTAGTAACATAGATGTGAGGTTAATTGATATAAAAGAATTAAAATGACTGAACCGAGATCTTCAGAAATGTTAATCATTTGTACAATACAGTACATGGGTGTATTTATGTAAAAATTCATCTACAGCCACAAGGACATACCCAGGATCTGAACTGGGGGGGCAACTCTTATTAGGTTCAAGGAAGTGGGGAGGGAGAGTGAAACATTCTTTTCTACCATCTCATGGTGTTCTTTCACAAAATTCTGATGCATGCTCATCAGGCATAATCCAGTCAGCCAGGTCTTCACTCTTTAAGCCAGGTCTTCACTCTTTGAAATGTACTGAAGGATTGTTCTACGGTCACCGTAGTGAATGGAATAGTGATCAGAATTGTGAATGATTTTCTCATGGCAGAAAAAAAATATAAGTTTTGTTAAACAGGTCAATGATTTCTATATCCCTTAATTTGTCTTCCAGTAAATTCTTCTTCATCCACAAATTATATCAAAGATCCAGTTCTCTGGTGACATCATCCAACTCATAAAAATTTGTAAACAGTTCTGCATTCTTGTGTAAATCTGAGATACTCATTTTGGTCATGTATAAAGGGTGTAGTTTTGTTAATGCAAAGACTGGGGTATTTTCTTGGGAAAATCGAATATTTAACAATGATGTAAGCAAATTCAGATATGGTATAATTAGTGAACACTACCAGTATTCATAGTCATTGTCTGATGGCAGATTGCTCCTGTGTTTTTGCTTATGAGCAAGACTTGGAACACAAATTTCTATTTCCAATTCCATTGACATGTCTTGTGCTTTTTTAAGTAATTTGCCAGTGATTCAATCTCCATCCTTATAGTCATTTTTAAGTATGTCAAGGATTCCTGTAATGCGTTCTCCCACTGCGATTAAGTCCACGGTCTTTGTTTGCAAGGCATTAACTACTGGTTCCAACATTACTGAGTATTTTGCTATAGTAATTAGGGCAATGATAAACAATGGTTTTGTAACTGCTGAATGCAACTGGTATGCAGATTTTCTTGTGACATAATTTCCTTCCATGGATAATTTTCCTAGTGCTTTCACAAGCTCTGAAAAATTTTGAGAAAATTTTCGAATCAATTTATATTTCTCCGACCATCTTGTTTTACACATTCATGATAGATTTGGAGTGTAATTCCTACAAGCAGTTAAAAAAAAAGTTTATTGTATCCATTATAGTGGCAGTAATATTTTTAATTTCAGGTACCTTGTTTGTATCATTCACCACAATATTGAGTTTGTGTCTTGAGCAGTGAAAGTATATTCCTCGAGAATATTTCTTCCTTAAAATTGCTTGTACACTATCCTCTTTGCCTGCCATTGTAGAGCAGCGATCGAAACCAAATCCAATGCAATATTCTGGTGGAAGTTTCTAACCAACCATAAAATTGTCAATTGCTTCTGTGATTGATGAGGCTTTTAGTTCCACAAAACCTACAAATTTTTTTCAAATTTTTTCCTTTGCTTTCATCATAGAGTTGCAAGCCAATTGATACATCTGTACTGTGTGTCAATTACAATTTTTCTAGGGAGGGGCAGCTGTCCTCCCTAGCCCTTCTCTGGGTGTGCCCTTGTGCAGCCACGTGTTGCATCTCATGAGATGCAACACATGTGGCAGCTGCCCCTCCTTATCTCCTTATCAATGAGAGATAGCACATGGCAAGGGTGTTATAGGATTACTTCTACTGCATTTCCACACTTCCCTGGCCTGCCTGGTTCTCTGATTTATCACCAATTGAGCATGTCTGGGATTACCTGGGATGCCAAGTTGTACAGCCTAGGACCAGGGATGGTAAACCTTTTTGAGCCCATATACCATATAGTAAGCATACTTAGCTTTAAAGATGTTTGTGTGCCAAAGTTTTAGATATAATACAACTTAAACTTCATATGAAATATCACATGAAAAGAAAGTAAATATTTTTACTTTATTTTAAATTTCATTTGCCTGAAGATGATGAACATAAGTTTGTTAAAAGTAAAAAGCTGTTAATGCCGCACTCCATGTATATTTTTACTTTCTTTAAATGTCATTATTCTAAGTCTAAAACTTTAAAAAGAAATTAAATGCATATGCTTTAATTAGAATAAATGTAAAAAAACTGGCTAAAAGGATGATCAGATGATAAACCAATAGGATGATTGAAAAAGATATATCATACAATTTCGATTTATCATCTATTAAATGCCAGATGATTTCTCCTTATGTGACACAGATTTGCCACCCCTTGCCTAAGTTTGGCTAAACTAGAGGACTGCTTGCAGCAACTGTGGACTGAGATGCTGCAAGACATCTTTATGCCTTCATGCTGCCTGTATTACATTGTATATTTATGAAACAGGTTATTAAAACCTCCTTTCATTTGTAGTGTTTTCTGCAATAAATGATTGTTTTGCTTTCATTTTGTAATTACTTACTTATACCATTACACTCACACATGTACAATTTCAATTCCTTCTTGGTGTGCTAATTTTTATGGCGGTGAGAGTACTACTAGTGGTAGTTGGTAGTTCATTTTATAATATACATAATTTGCCTTGGAGTCAATATATTATATTAAACAGAATCAATTATAATTTATTAAATGTTGTTACATTTAAAAAATCATTATCTACAGGCAACAATTTAAATTTTTAAAATATAATTTTTTCTGAGCAGTAAATCATTCCTCGGGTATTTAATAGGCTGGACGTAGAAAACTCTATCAGGTGCCACGAAAGGAACGTATTTCAGAACAAACATATCAGATGTCCAGATGGACTCCTGTAATTAAAGATATCATGGAGGTAAGCCGTGTCAATAATTATGCATCAAAGTAAATGATGTTATATTTCTATAATACAAATATAATAATTTGCAGTTTTTTGTAGGATGCTATTGAAGATAGGTTAGATGTCAAGCATTTTCCTTTTCTTGTCGCTCGAACTGCTACAACTGGATATGGTAGAGCTCCTCCCACTAGGTAATTTTTTTGGTTAAATCAAAAGAACATATTAGATATAAAACATTTGTTATAATAATCAAATAATATATTTTCAGTGTAAGATATAGACAATGGCTCAAAGATAAAAATGCTCCTAATGTAAAGAATTTTCCTAGACTAATTATATTCATTGTGGGTGGTGTCACTTATTCTGAAATGAGATGTGCATATGAAGTTACCAAAGAACAAAAGAATTGGGAAGTTATAATCGGTAAATATAAATACTAATCAACTAATTAATAATATAATTACTGTGCTTTGTATATTTACATACCTATTTTTTCACATTGTGGGTTTTATTTTTCATTATTATTAAAATGTACTGTACTTGACATAGTAACAAATAATTTCAAAATTTCATTAAATTTGAAAGAACATTAAGATTATTATTTATGTACACCATTATAAATAATATAAGATAGTTTTCAACATTTTAATATTTACAAATCTTGACCAAAAATATAGACACTCCATATAAATGCATAAATAATTCAATTGTGTATGCATATTACATTCTCTACTTTATAGATATAAAAGAAGCCTATGGATAAATATTGGGTCTAGCCATTAATGTCTTTTTTTTTCTAAATTTTGTTTTCATGCTATAGTAGTTGATTGATGTATTATACAAGTTAAGTATTAATTGCTAATTAATAAGTTTTATTAATCAAAAAACCATTATGAATATTGTTAAGAACATTTAAGATACATAAAGCCACATGAACTTTATCATATATTTATGAAAGGGTAACAATGGTTACAGCAACCAACATGTGTAGTGTACATGACAGGATCAAAATCCTCGCTCTTTAAATTTTTTAAACCATTCTTTAGACTCTGGATGATCTGACTTAGAAAATGCCAAAATTGCTGCAGTAATGGAAATTGACCCAAAACTATAGACTGTGTAACAAGAGTAGACATGAATCAGTCTAAATAGAAAGGGTCTATGTTAGATGAAAGGGCCATATGTGTGGGAGTTGCTACATGGAACAGTAATTTCTAAAAAAAAGGTAAAAACAATAAATTTATATGTGATAAAGATAAATCCAACTGAAAGAGATCAGATCCATGTGTAAAATTTCACATATTTTCCCTTTCACCTGACATAGACTCTTTCAGCTCAGGCTGACTCAAAATCTGCACAGCAAAAGAGAAGATATAGCTGTAAATCTGCACAGCAAAACAGAAGATATAGCTGTAAGGAAAATGAACAAGAATGGGATGCATGATATTGGTTCCATGTGATCTTACAGAACAAAATCACCTGAAACAATTATCAGTATGTGTTGCTAGGCAAGAGCAAACAGAATAGTAAGTGAAACAAGATAATTGGATATTATATGCCATTTGTAAAAGACATCTCCAGTGGTTTATCCAAAGGCCACTCAAGCTCCAGAACTAAAGTATAGCCTTCATTTTTGAAAAATGTTGTGTGTATGATGGGAATGTGAGAGAATACTGCACTTCATTTGGAATCAACAACTAGATGCTGCTTTATATCTCCAGCAATTAGAAAAACTCCAAATTTGACAAACAAAATGAAGGGTTCTCATTATAAATACAAACCTTCTTTTGGTTGCAAATCTTTTTAAATGGGATACAAAAAACACATACAGGAAATCTTCATTAATTCAAACTCAGTATAGTTACAAGCTAATGAGATTTCAAACCATTTGTTATAACAGGATACAGAGCTTTAGGGAATGCATATGTTAACTTGTTTGTTTAGATTGAATTGTCTCCATACTATAAAACTAGACCAAGAACAACTCTAATCTGGTCAATGTGGCTTTGCTTTTACAGTAACACAAACAGTAACACTTTACCTATGGAATATCCTTTTTTTCCTTATCTCGTAAAATACGGTTGGATTTTGGGATTGCAAGATTGGGCTACAAATAGCAGATTGAGATGTTTATAGGGCTCTAGGCTACTAATTTGGATGACTTGCTACTTTTTGGGCTACATTTCCAGGAAATTACTTTTTTTTTTTAAACCTAACTGGCAAACAGTGAAGTTATTACAGGACACATGCTGTTTACCTGCAGTTTATTTATATTATTAATTAATGAAAATAGCATTCAGTATATGTGTAGCCATATTCCATTTGCTTAATAAATTACATCAGTTATGTGACATTTGGCATATTTTACGGAAATATGTAAATCTCTGATAATTTGAAGTCGCGAATATTTCATCCCTTGAATTTCAATCTAATGAGGATGGAGGATTTCCTCTGTGGTTTTTTTTTTCCTTTACTTGGAGAATTTGAATTGGCCAAACAAATTAACTTAAAAATTTAACAAAAAGAAACGATATTCTATCAGAGACACCTAATATAATCAGATAGTACTGTTAATAATCTGAAATTGTCAGCCAAGAAAACATTCATCAAAATCAGTATATTTTGGAATCCTTTGTTTTTAACAAAAAAGTCATGCATTTAAAAATTTTTACAATTAAAAAAAGTAGGTATTTGGGGTATTCTACAGTTTTCTGTTATGGCTGTGGTATGTGGAAGTAAATTTTTAAAATTCTAGTTAGCTTCTTTCTAAAGTTATCATAGGAAACTCTTCATTTTGATATTAGTAGTAATGAACATTTAATATGGTTTTTTTCTAGTTTTCATCTTAATAAAATCACTTCAGTAAATATATCTTAAAGTTAATATTGATACTGAAATGTCTACACTTAAGGTCAACACTGCATTAAAAAAATTCTTGTAAATATTTTAATATAGAATTTTTTTCAAACCTCTGTAAACCAATGCAGTAAACCTGTCACAGAAATTTTAATTATAAATATGATGATCTGTTATAAACTTAACTGTTTTAAAAGTTAATAAAAAATAAATATTAGTAAGTGCAAAATCTAATTAGGCTATTTTCTTGTCTGAAATGTGGTTTATGAGAACAATATAGCTGTTTTCAGCTACAGAATTAGCAACACTGGTTACATTGTATCCTCATTCAATCAGTTACGGAGTAAACTGTAAAAAATTAATTGTACTGTGTAAATCCCATTAGCTACTATTTTTTAAATTGCCAACATAAATATGTTGTTTCAATTTAAATGCTAAATTGATGTTCTGAAACAAATTGAAAATATTGGAATGTTATGAATAAATTTAACATTTGAGGTTTTGACTGTATTGAAACTTGTTAAAACTTTCACTCTTTAATAGCTGCATTAGATAGTAAGTAAAAATAATCATAAGCACATACATGTTTAATGTTTTTAAAATAAAAAAAATTCAAATTAAATTTAAATACATATCAGTTTACATCAACTTTACAACTTGAATGAAATGTAATAACTGGTAAGATACCAGAAGACTTCAAGTTAATACCTATTCTGAATAAAAAGAAAGCAGAAAAATGTGAACAACAGAAACTTCTGTTGTTCACATTTTTCTGCTGTCACATGCATCAAAGATACTATGCAGAATAATCTATCAAAGACTACAGGGAAGAATAGAACAGAGCTTATTAGATGATCAGTTTGGATTTCAATAGGGAAGGGAAGAAATACTAAACTTAAGATTGATAATCAAATGGCTTATTCATGTTAATAGACAAATATTAATTGCATTTATTGATATCAAGAAAGCTTTCAAAAATATTGATTGGGAGATCATGTTCAGAGTACTGAAAATGCTAGGGCTGACTACAGAGATAAAAGAATTATATTTTAAAACTACATAAAAACTAGACAGCATTTATAGGCTGGGAAGAGGAGCAAAAATCAAAAAAGGAATATGGCAGGGATGTGGTCTTTCTCCATTTCTACTCAATAAGTAAAAGAAGCAATTAAAAAAATTCCTTGCTACCAACAGATCAGGAGTAAAAATAAATGGAAAATTGTTGACTATGATAAGATACACCAATGACATTGCCCTAATAGCTGAAGACGAAGATGGACTCCAGCAAGCACTTTCCAATCTCATTAAATATTAACAGAGATGAAACATGAAAATTAATAAGACAATGACCAAGGTAATGAAATGCACAAGGGTAGGAAGGTGTATATGTTTGGTTAGAGCAGTTTTTCAACCTTTATCTCACTGCACACTTGAACCTATAAATTTCTGCAGAATAAATCATGGTTTATAAAGTTGTGTTTGTAAACATTCTATCATCATATTACTTGCCACTTAACCTAATTTGCTCTATCTATATTTTTTGTGAATTAAATAAAACAGCACAATAGTTATTTAAATTTATACTTTCCATTTATATAAGAAAAGCAATTAACATTGTCTTAATTTGTGTTTAAAAGTGGCATAATAGCCTTTAGAAATCTGCCCAATGTCCCACTATTTCTAAGTTAAAATAATTTGAAATAAATATAGACAATTATAGATATGTTTTTGATTGAAAGAAAATTTCTCATTTTAAATGAAATAGCCTGGTGTTGTGAACAGATAATTTTGCTTATGAATATATATTTTTTACTATAATTATGTATATGTTTATTTATTATAACAATGAAAAGCTCGTAAAATCAGTTTAGAAGTTTTAATTTTAACATGTACAGTACACTTATTGTTCTTTGGGTTTTTCAAAAATAATTTATTTAAAAACCTTCCAAAATTTTTGTGGTACAGCAGTTGAAAATCACTGGGCTAGAGGGTGAAAAAATCAAAGTGTTTCCCATACCTAGGCAGTATAATCTCCTCTGATGGAAGAAACATAAGAGATGTATCTGCTAGGATGGCACAATCAAAACAAGACTTCTACAAAAAGAGAGGGCAAAAAATATTTCAGTAGAAATTAGAAAACGTTTTATCAAAAGCTTTGTGTGAAGTATAGCATTGAATGGCATGAAAATTTGGATACTACGGGAGGCATAAAAACGTAAACTGGGAGCATTTGAATTCTGGTGCTTGTGACAACTGCTACATGTATTGTGGACAGATCTGAGGAGAAATGAAGACACTTTACCAACTTTTGGCAACAATAGAGGAAGAGGAACATTTCGATCAGACATCAGAAATTCTTCATAGATGTGCACATTCCCCTCTATCTTACCTTCCAGTAAAGTCATGGAAGACCTAGAATTGAATATCTTGGACTGTTAAAAGACCAAGCAGGATGAGCAGTTTCACCACTTGGTAAAACTGCTCACCCAAGACAGGAAAGCTTTATAGCTCAATTGTTATTTTTTCTTTACCATGTTTCCTACCAACCTATAGGTTTGAGGGAAAACCAAGATCAGTTTATGTAGCATACTTAAGATTATATCAGGTCTTCATGTAGAATACTTAGGCTTATATTTCTTGATAATGTAGTTAATATAAGTCATATATCAGCTGATTTAACTTTAATTTCTACAAATTATTATAGTAATTTATTTCCCATCAAAAACCAATGAATTTTCTTTCAGGCAGTGATCATCTATTGACTCCCGAGGGATTCCTCAGCGATCTCAGAGACCTCAGCAGCTGAATGTCAAGAGTGGCTGCGTATTTTTATTTGTCCCTGTGCAATATACTTTAAATGCATTGTTGCAGTTACTACTTTTTGCCCATTCATAACATTAAAAGTTCCATGGCTTTGTTAATTGTGTATCCATGAAAAATTTTAAGAACAAAATCATAAAATTAAAGTACAAAAACAAAACTATTTTTGAGATGTTTTAAAATTAAATGAATTTATATTCTATTTGTATTTTTTCTGCTTTTAATGTTGATGTTGGCATAAAAAAAAATCCTAGTCAACAATATTTTTGTCAATGTTGTGCATTTGTATAATTGTAATAAAAATCTAATAATAAACACAAGAAATCACTTTATTGACTCTCTTTCTAAACACATTATTCTGGTTTTTTGTGAAAGTTTCTCTTGGGAACAATCGGACGCTGACTTCTCAAAATGGCGCTTGCTCGACGCAGTGTTGCCTATAAAAATAGTGCATTTCGTGGTTTAATTTTTCCATTAGAAATACTGTTTTACAGTAAATATGGCAATTTAAAGTTTAAAAGGACATTTACCATTTTCAAGTCACGCCTATAACGATTGGACTTGACAAACTTTTTGATACTAGTCATACTTCTCCTGGCTCCTTTTGTCAGTGGAATTTTAGCTAAATTTCTTACTGGTTTGTTTTGAACTGAAATAAAATCATCACAACATGGTACATGGTATCTATGAACAGTACTATTAATCAAATTAGCAAAACAACTACTTAAATATAAATTGTCAATCACACAGAAAAATTTGGAATTACAGATGATTGCAAACAACTTTTAAAATAAAATCTTACATTTTCTCTTCTTGTACAGAAGATTGATTCCCTTGCCGCTCGTATGGGGTTCGATTGCTATGGCCTTCCTGTGAATCATGCCGCTGTAGCGAGGAGAATGAATATTTTTCAAGTTTAGAGGATCCTATGAAGAAACAAATATTCAAAAAAGTTTAAAACTGGAAATAGCATTAGCGCATGTTTTTTGTTTTAGAATTTTCAATTGCTGCATATTATTTCTAATTTAACTAAGTTGCTGAAAATATCAATCATCATAACATTACATAATATGAAGATTGATGGTAGCCTCATGTTACGTCAAATCTTGCAAAACTTTTTAAACTTTAAATTGGATATAAGAGAAAGATTTGCTACACATTTTTATACATAAATCTCCTGCTATTCCCATTTCAGTATTATTAGTCTCTTTTTCTGTGAAGTCACTGCTTTGTCTTACATCCAAATGCTCTTCCTGTCATTAACCCTTCATCTTTCTTACTTTTTCTTGCTTCCAAAAAATTTAAACTTTTGAAATTTATATTAATTATGATCTAAAGAAGTGAATCTTAGCTGACAAAATTTGAAGTTTTTCATTTTCCATAAAACTATCATCATCTTGCCACCAGCAAATTGCAGAACTTTGCTCAAAGCTGCCTTAACAGAAATATTGTTTGGTATTTGCTGAATGACAAACAAACATCTGGCCAATACCGAGTGGTATGGATGATTTATTTGCAACTTCGCTCAACAAATATTTGGTATTTGCAGTTTCCAACTCCACATCAGTAGGAGTACTGTGTCAAATCAAAGGGGACAAATCCATTCGATATTGGCCATTACTGAGTAGATTTGTTTGCTTGGCATTCGGCAAATATCAAATGTGTGAAATCATCTTTATAAAGATACTTTTGATGCACATAAGAATGAATATATTCTTTCTTCTCTATATTGAGTTCTACTGACTTTGCACATGACAGAAATTATGAGAAAGTAGAAAGTTTATTTTTTTTATAAAATCAAAAATATAAAATAAAAAGGAATTTTCATTTTATTATTATATATAATACTGCAATTCAAATGAAAACAATTCATCAATAATGATAAAAATGCAGACTCGGTTTCTCGTAAGACCAATTCTTAAAGTTTTATTGTCATTTTTCAGATATGAAATTAAAGAAATGCTTTACTAGAAACACAGTAAAACTTTAAGAATTTGAAAGCAAATAAAATAAAATAAATTTTACAAAGCCTCTATAGCCTTTTCCAGAATAAGAATGGAGCTAACATTCTTATGCCAAGTAGAACACATGTTTAAACTGTTACTATAATCTAATTTTCTATTCTTATATATACAGTAGAACCTTGATTATCCAGATCTCTATTATCCAGATTGTTCAAAATAAACAAAAATTTTACGAATTTGCTGATTTGCACTTGGCAAATTACGACACTGTTTATGTACGTGATGGAATGCATAACTTTTTTTGTTTCAACAACGTCTCACCCAGCACAGTGGTCGTAAACTCTTAATTATATTTTACGTCGTAATAAAAATATAACTTGACATACGTATTTATAAATAATTTATATTCAAATTACATCATTTCTATGACCATGGACGACGTGGGCCACCGCCTATGCCTCGCAGTCCGAAGGGCCTCACGCCTCGAAAGTTTATGCATTACTTAAAAGCCACGAACACGACGAAAAAATTTTACTCATCATAAATAGTTTGTCAAATTTTTATTCATAAAAATGCAGTTTCAACTGCTTTTTATTTTATAAAATCCATCTTCTTGTGCCACCAGAGGGCCTTTTAAACAATAGGTAGTCTGTTAGCGCTGGTCAGTAGTAGTCCAAATTCAGTACAAACACTTGTTTCTTGAAAGTTTGATCACGATTTAAATACGGTATTTATTTTTAATATTACCGATATGTCATTGAAAAGAAAATGTGTTGTATTATCATTAAAAGACAAATTAAAGTATTTGTTTCGATTATCGAATTTTTTCTTATCCAGACTAACTTCATCCCCAATTAGTCTGGATAATTGAGGTTCTACTGTATTTGAAATTTCTGACACCTTTTCAAGAAATTTGAGATTTTTTTTTTCAATTATAAATCACACATGATGTAATGTTTAAATTTTCAAAAAACTGAAAATTTAATCACATTTTGAAGAATTTTCATTGCTTATCATTCTGCCACTGCCATAGCTAAGCATTTGAGATCTACAATGTTGGTTCATTCTTATTCCATGAAATACCAAAATTACCATTGAATGTTTTATTTGTAATTCACTCAGTTGTCACAAAAATACATAATGTTTCTAAAAATTACATTTCTTGCATAATAATTTAACTTACTGTGCTGAAATATTTTCTTATATTTCTTTTCTTCACCAGAAAACTCGAACAATTACGAATAACCATCCATTGCAAATCGGTAGACATCTTGACACCTGCCATAAGAGAGACAAGATTAGAAAATTTCATTCCATTAAAATACTTAAACTGCAATGCTACATCAGAAACATTAGCTGAATTCAATTTGAATGTCTCAGCAGTAAGAGCATTAGAGCAGGGCTTCTTAAACTTTTTTTTATTCACGACCCCATTTATGATTGTGATTTTTTTCATGACCCAAAAAATATAAAATAAAGATATATACAAATTTGCAAAAACAATAATGGTATACTACCACAGTTCACTCTTGTGTTACAATGGAACAGAGACAACTGAATACACTGAAAAGTAGTGATGTGCCGGATATCCATATCCATATCCATGGATATCCGAGGGAAAAAAAGATCCGTATCCATTACTTTTTAGCGGATCTTTAACGGATCTTTTATCTTAATGAATTTCATTACTTATATGAAATTTTAAAGATACCGTGTTTCCCCGAAAATAAGACAGTGTCTTATATTAATTTTTGCTCTGAAAAATGCACTAGGTCTTATTTTCAGGGAATGTCTTATTTTTTCCAGGAAGAAGAATTCACATTTATTACTGAACAAAATTCCCAAGTCGAACTTAGATGAGAGTGACGTATATCCTGTATGTCGCCTTTTTATAGCGTCAACATCGGACTCGATGACCAATTAATGCTTACTGAACCGTAGCACTATGCAAATGTCATGTGGCATGATTCCCGCCCGACCAATTAGCCATCACCAGCCGTAACGTTATGCAAATCTGTGATTCCCAAGCCATAGTCTTATGAAAATCATTATGTGGCGTAATTGTCTGCTGACCAATCAGTGGCTGTACTTTCAAAAAGCCAACGGCCACTTTCAAGCATCTGTCAATGACTGTTACAAGTAAAAAAAACTTTGCTAGGTCTTACTTTCGAGGGGAGGCCTTATATTTCGCAATTCAGCAAAATCTGTGCTAGGTCTTATTTTCTGCGGATGTCTTATTTTCGGGGAAACACAGTATTTAGCAATAAAATACTAATAACTTTAATTCAAATCACTTTTTATTTCTTAAAATCACATATTTGGCACATTCATATTGCAAAAATTAAATATTTAAACATTAATTATAGTAAATTACCAGTATAAGGTATTAATTTAACTATCTTTATAGTGAAATCAAACCTCTAATGCTAATTGAAATAATCATCATGGTTATATTATATTATACAGTGGAACCTCGGTATACGACCTTAATCCGTTCCTGGTGTTTGGACTTATACCGAATAGGACGTATACCAAACCAACCTTTCCCATAAGAAGTAATGTAAAAATGATTAATCCATTCTCATGTAAAAAAATGGCTGGCTTTAAACACCTGGCTTTCCTCGCTAGTTTCTGCTTGATTTTTCGTGAGATCAGAATGTATCCTTTTAACTTTCTCGCAAATAATTTCTTCCGATACGCTGTCGCCAGCACACTGTTTTTCAGTTATCCAAAGCAAAAGCAATTTCTTGACATGATCTAATGTCTTTGATCTCTGTTTAGAAATTGATTTAACCCCTTTCGCAACGTTAGCAAATTTAATAATGTCTTTATTTTTTACGATTGTTGATATTGTCGTTCTCGGAATACGGAATGCAACAGTTAAATCTCGTTAAATCTCGAACACGCGTGCCACCTTCATATTTCTCAACAATCTCTTTTTTCAGTTCCGTTGTGATTCTAGTCATTTTTTTATTTTTCTGTTGCCCTTTTGCAATTCATGATTAATAAAAATAATAAAATGTTACTTACAAATTAAAATCAGAAGAAATTTAACAAAGTTAT